AGTGAAGCGAAACTTTTTGGCAGCTTCTCAACCAAATCAATACTGACGTAACGAACCAAGGATAGATCACTAATGATAGCCACTTCAGTGTGCATTTATGAGTTCAACTGCTCCTGTGGAGCTAGTTACATAGGTCATACTCAAAGGGCTCTATCAACGTGCGCTCGTGAACATATACCAGCTTGGTTAGGGAAAGGAATGAGAAAGAGCATCATCAGTGCAATCCTCTCACATCTAGTAGATACCGGATATCAGATTAAGGTAGATCACGCTTTTCTGTGGTAAAAAAAAGTGTCCCTTGCAATCTCTTTAAAGGTGCACGACGAGGCATCTTACCCATAACCGAAGCCATACGGATCAACGCAAGAAAACTGGATCTCTGTGTTCAAAAGAAATATGTACATCCACTTTGTTTACTTTGGGCCACCGGAGGGTCGACACGTTCTTTGTGAACTTTCTACCACAAGTTGTACATTTTAACCTCCCACTTTGATAAACATTCATTTCCTTATGTTATTAGTTTTACATCCTTCTTTAATCATACCAACTTTGACTGTTTCAATATAGTGAAATTGTACATCATACCTGATTTGGGCTATTATACTTCACTTATTCTCTTGGATTTATAACTGTAAATCCTGAAGAAGAAATTATTGAAAACAATTGTGTTCGCTTAAATTATTCTTGTTATGAATTAAATGATCAAAACTTTAGTTTTCTTTTGGGCTGTTTAAGAAAAGTTTAAAAATCCCTGTTGTATCAACTTAATACATGAGAAATTAAAATTAGATGGTATTAAATTGTCAGTCGGAAGCCAGGAATCAGATATGGTACAAAGCTACAAAAAGGAAATATTATCATTGACTATTCAACCTTTTAAATAATGAAATAATGAGAGCGTTCAGCTGTGAGGAATGAAATATGGTATTAGTAATAATTAAGCGACTGTTTTGTATTCTTATATTTACCCTAATGAATGATAATTTTGGCCTAAATATGATCTATGACTCAGACATTAGTGCACGTGTGGAATTCACATAGATAATATGCTTTGTAAATAATCATAGTGATGTTGAATATAAAGTCAGAAAAAGGAGAGAAAACAAGAATATTAATATAATTTACCATGGTCAAACCTAAATCAATGAACAAATCTATGTTCATAATCTGTATTGAGTATATCTGAAGATTTAAGCAAGAACATTTGATTGAGGTAGACACAAGACAATACATTGTATATGTCATCCTTAGTTAACTATAGAAATTGTTAGCCTTCAAATATTTACCTAAATGTAACTTTTACTTTTACTGAAAACTTTTCATAAATGATTCAGTGAACCATAATATTTCACTTGTATCTAAATTCATAGTACTAAAAGCCATTACGTTGTACCGTGTTTTTTTAACAATCATAAAAGATACAAATTCCTGTAAAGGTTGGTCATTAGCTTATAAATTCTTTTTCCTTCCATGAAACTTCTGATTAATTGTGAGTACTGAGTACCTGAAATGAATACATACTAGTGTATTTATATGAAACTAGGTTATGAACTTCAAGAAACATGTGAACAGAAATTTAGATCTAATCCTTTTAAATAGCATATGATTACATACCTCAGTTAATAAATCTTAAAAACTGATGAAAGTGTTGCTCACTAAGGGGTTTATCAACCTATATCTTTTTTTAATAGAAAGTTACAAAACTAATTTCAATTGAGAGTGCCTTGAAATTTAAGCTGAAGAAATGCAGAGTGATGCATCTTCGCGCACCTGAAGCGATGAAAACCAGACACACCTTCAGCATGTGACCAATTACCAGGGTATCCACAAAAAAGAAAGTAGGACTAAAATTCTCTAACACACTGGATACGAATGCCAACTATAAGGGAATGGAGGTAAAGAGAAATGCGTCATACACTGTGGAAGAAGGTAGCTTGGAGCCCTAACCCGTGAACTATTCCTCAAGGTTTTTGAAACCTATGTTACATCACATCTAGAGGTACTCAACACGATAGCCCATGTCTACTAAACAGAGATGCCAGTACTCTTGAGATGCAGAGAAGGGTGACAAGGTTGGTTGTCAGACTAACAGATAAAGCATATGAACAACACCTTGGAAGACTCAACTTGTTCACCTTAAGCTATCGAAAGAAAATAAGCGACCTAATTACAGTCTACAACATCACACATCAGTTGGACCACCCTGACAGGACAACATTTTCTGTCCAAAACCAACAGTCTCACAGGAACCCCACTCTCATGCCCTAACTTCTCACATAGAGTGTGTGTCTTATCTAACATTCTGAAGAAAGAAACACCCACAGCTATATCACCTGGCTCCACCAAACTACTCCTTAGGTACATCAGTGCAAACGGCCTATCACCAAATTCGACAGTAGCATGCTCGTCCATCCCTATATTCCTCAACCCTAGTATCTACAGTTAGACCCGTCTCTTTTCCATATTATTGTTAGTATCACTTATTTTTCCATAAGTTCTTTCCAATCCTCTTTTCTCATTCCTCACCAGCCCTATCTCTCTTAATACCTTTTAAATAACGTCTAATACTTTCTCACAGATGCTTACAAAAATAAAAATAGCAAACGGTTAATTGATCTTATCAGCAGCTTCGTAGCTTCACAAACAATTATTATCATTATCATTTTATTATTTGTCGCTTGGGTTCCTAGTGGAACATAGGGCTTAAGTTGCACATCTCCATTGTACTCTGTTCTCTGCAGTCTTTTGGACCTGGCGCCACGACTGCTCACAAGCTTTCGTTTCTTCCTTACGTGATCTCCTCCAAGTCACCCTCGCGTCGGACGCCCAACTCATCGTTTCCCCTGTAGATTCTACTCGACGGCCTGTCGCGTGACGTCTCCGAATGGTTTTCTCAGTGTATGCCCAATCCATCTTCACTTTCTTCTACATACTTGTTGGGTGATCGGTTCTTGGGCGGTTCGTTCCCAGCCGGAGTTTCTTGTTGCTTATTCTTTATGGCCATCTGATCTTCAGTATCCAGCGTAGGCAGGTGTTGATGAATGTCTGTAGTTTGCTGGAAATATTTTTCGTGACGCGCCAAGTTTCTGAACCTTAAAGAAGCACTGACTTGAATGACTTAGTGTTGAAAATCCGGATGTTGTTCACGCTTTATGCTGAGTGCATTAGATCTCCATACTGATTGCACGTTAATGAAGTCCTGTCTTACTTTTCTAATCCTTGCTTTGACGTTCTGATCTGTCCCTGTGCTGCCTGTAGTGGGAAACGATGCTGCCTAGGTAGGTGGAAAAGATAACTTCCTTTAGGTTTCTCCCGTTAATAGTTATTGGTGCTTGTTTCATCAAACAAAACTGCATTTGCAAAAAATTATTCACAAATATACAATCACTACTTCTAAAGATATGAGCAGGTTAACTGTAAAGATCTCTGCAACCACCGAAGGAGTATAACCGAAAAAAGAACTGAGTCTCAAGACCCAGAAGCGATCACTTAAAAAACTACAAGTTTCATCTGCTTGCATTATTGATGTTAGATGTGCTGGATGTCGGTTTTTTAGTGTAGACTAACTTTGCATTTCGCTAAGGTAAAGTCAATTAATCTCAAGGATTGGTCATCATACAGAAAGCAAAGCAACAGTATCGTTCTTATTAACTAGTAAATGGAGATTAGATGAAAGTTTGAGTAATTCGGAGTTTGTGTATTATATCTGATGCTTTTTTTCCTTTTTTTTCTGCTAGCCGCAAGCAACCAATTTATTATAATTAACATTCAGGCAATATCGAGGTATCGGCATACGAGCCCATATGCCAATGGAGGTCGAACAATTCGATCCAACAAAACAACGGAGAATAACAAGTATGTCAATAGATAGTAATAACTACTACCCGTTTTACAAGAAGTAGCTATCGTTCCTCCGTGGCAAAGTAGATAGTGCCTTGGCTTTTGAAGCGATGGGTACGAGGTTCGAGTCGCAATGGGAACAATATCACTGGGGGGCAGGTACTTCCAGCTGACGAGTCCCAAGTAGGACGAAACGCGCTTCCTGGATTCTTCTGCTAGCCACAACCAACCGATTAATTAATGAAGTAAGCTTATTAATCTTTTTTTAGCTTGAGACCTATGGAAACAAGAAAGAATAAGCTTAGTTAACTCATTTTCTTTCAAAAGATTCGCTTTACTCGATTTTTGTTCTGCTCATATTCACCATCAGGTACAATCATGTCACAATTTCACAACAGAAGTCTTCCATATCATTCGCATAGTCTGCTGGTAATGTCACTGACTTCAGTAGTGAACAATATGATGCAAATATTCGTAAAAGTCACCTGTTTTCTTTAGACTACAGTTATTCTTTCAAAGTCATTATCAGTGAATGAGAAATGTTACATTAAGACATTCTTATCGATTGTCTTAAAAATCCAGTTTTGATATATTTTTTGGCTTTCTTCAGTGAAAAATGTTTTCGTCTTACCTATGACCCAACAACTTTTCATTTACACAAATATGTCGCTAATGTTTGTCTATAAGTAAAGACAGACAACCTGTAAATATGAATGTGATACAACACACTTGCTTAATAACACTTTACTTATCTCACTTTTAATTGGTTGAAAACAATTAGTTACTATAATTATGAGTAGTATCAACTTTAACGTGTAGATAAAGTTTCAATTGATCTTTGAAGTCTTAACACTAAATACCTCAAGTTTTCAGTATGTTTTCTAAATTATTATTATGATTTCAGTAGAATATCATAGAGAAAACACTTTAGGTATTATTCATCATTCTACCATGAAGTAGCCATCATAAATTAGCAAATAAATAACAACATTCTTCTTGATAAAATGTATATTTATCATTATTTAAACACATGCATAACGGCAATACTGTTAATATTACTGTTTAGATATATCATGATAGGCTATAACTCATATTCTTGTCATTTTATTTGTTTGTCTGTATCATAATCAATTAAAGTGGAACTATTTAAATGTAAAGAAATGTATACACATTGTCATTGGACTCCGATAGCGATGCCTGAAATGTGTGGACCATTACTTGGTGAACATGCGGGTCTTATACATGCTTGTTCTGTAAGTAAAACTTTGTTTATTTGATATTTAAGAAAATATATTTGATTTTTATTATTCAGACATAAAATTTTGTTGAAATTTTAAATAATGCTTCTGAAAACGAAAGTTGAATCATTTGAAACAATTTGTAAAACTTAGACGTTTGTCATGATTGTCTTAGTTTCTTTTTAAAGAATAATGTTATATTTGGAAAGACAAGATCATTGTCATTTTTTGTAATTCCAGAACAACATGTTCTCGGTTTAAACGACATTGTTCACCGATGAAGACACTTGGTATCCTTCTGTGACTAGTTCATTTAAATGACAGTACAATGAATAAAGAATATTCTTCTCAGTAACTTCTTCTTTGGGCTCTACATTTATCTTCATATATTTTACTACCTTGCAAGAAAATCTCCATAAACCTTAAAATGTACAGTACTCATTAGTAAGATGCTTTGAGACGGATATTCTGAAGTTTTGATGAGAAACCGTGACCTATACAGTCAACCAGTAGGAAGTGAAGTGGATGCCAACTGAAGGGCTCAGTAGACTCTCATACTATATCGCTAACTGGCAGAAGTAGGGAACTGTGGACCATTGAAATCCAACCGATTGACTGAATAGAGAATGCGTTCCCCGCAAAACTTGAATCTCCTGAATTTGATCCCTGTGGGATCATGGATATATACTGTTTAGGAGTCCCATACTAAGACGAAACAACCATCGAGCTTCTCAGTGATTCTTCAACTGATGTCACCCGTGATGGATACTACCTTGAAATGAATTCCGTTCTTTCAGATAGCGAAATTCATTCGAGCAGAGCTTAGTATAAGTGGATGAGAGAGTTTTAGTGTATGAATGCAAAAACTGGTTAACAACAATAGTCCAGTAAGAACAACAGGTCTAGTTACACAAATATATGAAGATGAAAATGAAGGAACTTGATAAATCTAAGATAACAGGAATGGGTGAAGCAATATGTACCAACAGTTAGGAGGTTTACCGCATACAATCGGCTTAACAAGTGCTTAAGAATTTGGCAATCCTGAATCTGACCAGGTAATAGTAATAGCTGGATCTGTTTCTTTTGTACACATATTTAAGGTTGTTCAAATCAAATGTCTGCAGTTTGTTTCATTTGAAGCATTCGGTATCCGTTGGCTCTTGGCAAACTAATGGAGACGAATAAAATTATAGAAAGTGATTGGTTCATATTGGCTTTAAAGTCTATTTGAACTAAGTGAGGTAATATCGAGCTATTTACATTCTTGACTACTTCTTTATTCAGCCATACTGAGAGTTGTTCACGAGCAGGAAATATTAAACTCCTTGAGCATTTTTAGGATAAGTAGCTGCAAAGAAGTAGTTGAATTGATAAACATACCACGAATAAGCGATCCTTGGTGTTTGATCTTTCAGCCTTGTTAATACAATTGGAGTGTTGTAAATACTACCTGTACTTTTTCATGACCATTTACTTTGAATAAAAACTCCCCGATATATTTGATTTTGATACTGGGTGATGATCGAAGGTGAAACAAAGATCTAGGCAGTGGCAAGATCCGAACCAGCCACCTTTGGGTTACCGACTCGGTTCCTAACAACTGAACTACGTGACCCAACTACTGACCAGATCTTAATTTCACTTCGGTCACAAAGGGTTTTGCCTGATTGTCATGTGAACTCATGATGAGTTAGTACCTGTTCATCGTATTCACATTGGCTGCCCTACCAGGACTTCTCATCACAACCTAAATCAGACTGAATTAGAAAGGGGAAGCATCATATTGATCGACACTTTGACTATCTCAGATAGCCATGGTTTGGGTGATGACTGAAGGTTAAATGAAAATCTGGGTCATCGCAAGATTTTAAAAAGTGACTTGCGGGTTATCGTCAATCGTCATTCCGTATCAATAACACAAGTCTGCTAAATCACGCCTATTTCAGATGATCAAACTTATATTTGATTTTAACCATTCAGTATTACGTTAGACCTGTCATCACCGACATAAGTGACTATTTTGAACTGTATTAGCGACTGACTGTCAGATAAAGTCTTCCCTCGTCAGCAAGGTATATCTGCAACATCGACGGAATTGATGTTCCGCCTGAGATTTAAACCCATATCATCCACTTTTACATCAGGTGCTTTGCCACTGAGCTACTCGGGGACCGACTGACCACCTTTAGGACTGGATTAGACACACTGGTTAGTCACTGGAAGGTAACCAACTTCATGTCGTCTAGTCATAAGTGCTAATCAAATTCTTACGATCATTTTGCAATATGGCCACCAGGCTAAACCACTCATTGGTGAGATTTACCTTGATAAATGTTAGTTAGATGGAGGTAATCAACAGGAAGCTCTAACCCTAGGTTTCGGGCTTTTCAGCCCTCATCAGCAATGTATATCTGCGACATCGACGGAAGTGATTACCTACCTCGCAGTTTTCTCTGCTCACAATAGTAATTTCACAGTCAAACTTTCCATGCTCCTTAGGAATTGGCTATATATATTTTTAAAACAATTTTAATGCCAAGGTTCAGTAAAAGTTTCGTATAATAACTATTATTCTTTAGGTATTTTTTGAATCATGTGAAAAGCTCTAGAAAATGTTTTTTCACATTCGTCTGTGGTACAATAATTTGTCACACCTAGTCGTCAAAGATTCTGCTCACCTGCTCACAAAGTAGCAGGGTAAACTGAATTCCTCGCCTCAGTGATTCACAGGCTTTTCTGATCAAACTGGTTACTGGATTCCAAGTATTCCACTCATTTACTGGAAACCTATGGGGAATATTATTTGTTGATAAAATATTTGCAAAAATTACTTAGATATTTTCAGCCATATATTTATGGCTAACGTACTTTACTCACTGTAATTGTTGAATGCCTAGCTCAAAAGTTTTCAGGACGTTTTCAATGCTCATAGAAACAAATTTGAAGGTAGTGAAGATCGAGTAATATTTTTCCAAAAAATTCACTTTTGGTTATAAACTAGTGTTTAGAAAAAAGATCGGTAGTGTTTAAAATAGTAATGAGATGAATAAGTATCAAGACCAGAGCAATATGAAGTTTCGAAGGAAAATGATAGAATATAGTGAAAAGGATTGACGAATTTTATGAGAAATAAAACTCTAAGAGTGGAAGGATATAATGTGAGCGACAACATAAGTGATAGTAAGGAGATGAGTGAGGGGATTTTACGGGTGATATTTACTTACAAGTTATGTCCGCTGCAATTCTAGTGATTGAGAAACTTCTTTTGACTGCGAGTTTAGCTTCAGTATATGAATTACCATGGCTTTCGAAGCTTGAAAAAGTTTCAGACATACAACTTTCATGAGGGTTTTACGAACTCTGTAGGTGACAATGGAATTGCTTTCTGCGTTTATGGGTGGTCAGAACCGATCAAATGTTCTAGTAATTTTTAATCCTGTTTAATATATGTTGTATAATAAAGAACGTTTCATTCCTTGTCGACTCAAACATATGTCTGCCGTCGGTCGTTGAGTCTTCCGAACTGCCATTATTTGCACGTTTTGAAGAATAGGACCAGACAGGTATGTTGAACAAAAAGACTTAATCGTTCACACGATGATCATTTAGCCATTTTGCATCTTTTCTTATCAATAACAGTGGATAAGAATTTGATGAACGTTTATCTAGTGTCACAGGAAATATGCATTTTCAACAATGAACGGCGATTATTTGGAACTCGTTGAACAGATATTGATGAAAGCAGAAAATGTGAATTGGATTATTCTTTCTTTAGTTGGATCAGTTTGGATTTTAGTCTTTAGGGTAGTAAACCATCGGAAATTTCTTAAGAAGTGTGGCTTCTTTTAGAATCAGAAAGACAATACCAAAGATTTACTCTGACAGTAAACGATACAGACCGAAAAGTCATTTATATTATAGTATTTGGTTAGTATATGGGACCAGATAACATGTAACTGGTTACTCCCCAGTGAGTTTCACTGTAGACTATGAAGTTCTAAGGAGATCATTGGTAGGCAGAACAGCTCATCGATAATGTCTTTCACTGCAGTACTACACGAGGCTAGCTTGGATTCCTAAAACAACATGACAATCATTGAGGCTGCAGGTTCGCCTTGTTGACAAAGTTTCCTCAAGCAAAGAAACTACATTCATAGTTTCATACCGACTGCCTCCAAACATCTAACATCATCCTTGAAGAATTAGTTACACAGGAGCGCAAATTCTCTTTCTGTATACACCAAAACAGTGTTATTTTGATTAGTAACAGATTTAAATGAAACTATACTGACAAAGGATAAATTAATGTAGAGACTATATTTTTGGACAAGCGTATGACAGTGTGAACAATTATCATACGTTAGTTAAGGCATATTTATCAGTTTCTATCAGTTAGCTAGTCATCAGTAACCCATCGCGACATAAAATCACTTAACTGAACCGTCAAACTGTTCAACATTATTTGCTAATTAGAACTCGCCATTGGGGTTTAAATATGATATGAATTAATGACCAGAGACTGGTCCCTGTACACGGGACACACAAAACACAAGACTACATCTTTTTCAAGATGCAAAAGAAAATTTTATGTAATATTATTTTCAGAGGTAATTGCTTTTATAAAAATATTACATATGGTCATTCTTTTCTTTCAGTCTAACTATACATCGACTGTCCTAAAAAATACTGAGTAAACTTAGGCATTATTAATTCAATATGAGTAGATGCCACTTGAGGCGACATGATATTTACTTTATGCCAATTAGTGACAAAACAGCTGTTTATGTTGTTGGTTAGACACAGTGAACTTATTTTATATTCCCAGCTCTCGAAAATCTGATGATTTTAAGAAGATTAGGTTAATTGAAGTCTTGCATATTGCGCAATGAAATGCTTATTTGCACAACTGATGGATAATTCAACAACTATTTGAAATTCACTAATCGGATATTACATTTTGCTCACGTTATTTTAATTACAGTTTACTTTTTTAAGCATGTCGTACTGACAAG